GGGTGATCTGAGTGGTTGTTATGTTAGGGTGGTTGTCAGCTTGTTCTGAGTAATTGTTAGGGTGGTTGTTAGGTTGTTCTGAGTGGTTGTTAGGGCGGTTGCTAGGTTGTTTTGGGTGGTTGTTAGGGTGTTCTGGGTGGTTGTTGTTGGTTACTAGTGTGTTGATTTGGGGTAACGAGATGTTCTGAGTGGTTGCTAGGGTGTTCTGAGTGGTTGTTAGGGTGTTCTGGTTGTTTATGGGGGTTTCCAGGATGTTGCTGTGTGGTTGTGAGTGTGTTCTCTACAGTTGTTGGTATGCGGCTATGCAGTTATTAAGGTGTTTTGGAAATAGGGTAACAAAATGTTCTGGGTGGTTGTTAGGGTGTTTGAGTGGTTGTAATGTTAGGGTGTTCTGGGTGGATGTTAGGGTGTTCTGAGTTGTTGTTAGGGTGTTCTGAGTGATTATTATGTTAGGTGGCTGTTATGGCATTCTGAGTGGTTGTTAGGTTGATCTGGGTGGTTGTTGTTGGTTACTAGGTTGATATGGGGTAGCAAGGTGTTCTGAGTGGTAGTTAGGGTATTCTGAGTGGTTTTCATGTTAGGGTGGTTGTTAGGGTGTTCTGTGTGGTTGTTGTTGGTTACTAGATTGATATGGGGAAACAAGATGTTCTGAGTGATTGTTAGGGTGATCTGAGTGGTTATTTGGGTGTTCTGGGTGGTTGTTGTTGGTTACTAGATTGATTTGGGGTAACAAGATGTTCTGGGTGATTGTTAGGGTGTTCTGAGTGGTTGTTAGAGTGTTCTGAGTGGTTGTTAAAGTTGTTCTGAGTGGTTGTTAGGGTGTTCCAAGTGATTATTAGGGTGATCTGAGTGGTTGTTATGTTAGGGTGGTTGTCAGCTTGTTCTGAGTAATTGTTAGGGTGGTTGTTAGGTTGTTCTGAGTGGTTGTTAGGGCGGTTGCTAGGTTGTTTTGGGTGGTTGTTAGGGTGTTCTGGGTGGTTGTTGTTGGTTACTAGTGTGTTGATTTGGGGTAACGAGATGTTCTGAGTGGTTGCTAGGGTGTTCTGAGTGGTTGTTAGGGTGTTCTGGTTGGTTATTAGTGTGTTGATATGGGGTAACAAGGTGTGCTGAGTGGTTGTTAGGGTGTTCTTGTTGGTTATTAGTGTGTTGATATGGGGTAACAAGGTGTGCTGAGTGGTTGTTAGGGTGTTCTTGTTGGTTATTAGTGTGTTGATATGGGGTAATAAGGTGTGCTGAGTGGTTGTTAGGGTGTTCTTGTTGGTTATTAGTAGGGCTGCACGATAAATCGCATGCAATATTTAAAGTTATTAGTGTGTTGATATGGGGTAACAAGGTGTGCTGAGTGGTTTTTAGGGTGTTCGGGTTGGTTGCTAGGGTGTTCTGAGTGGTTTACTGAACCAGTCATCAATTTCCAGGAAACACATGTACTAATAAAAATTGTATACACTGAATGCACTGTTAAAAAAATAACACAGCTATTGGTGCAGAAATGATATATTTCACATTCAATAACATTAGTGGGCGTCAATTACACTGAAGATTATGTCCATATAATTGTACATCAGAATATGATTACATTTTATGCACAACAGATCTCATAAAAGTACTCCTTATTTTAACTGATGGGACTTCACATTATCTCATTGCTTGTTTTTCCTAACTGGGTCACATTTTACATTGTTTTTCACCCACCAAATTTAGACCCAATCAACAGTCAGACATGTTAATATTATCAGGGTAACCCGTCTGCACTTTTGCTTTATTCTGCTTGCACTTGAAACGTTAGTGACATGCTGAGGCCACAAACACTGAAGTGAAGCCCACACACAGTCGCAAGGATTCTCTGTCTGAGTCATATGAGAGCTCTATAACACCACACAGCCCTCCAAACACACACATTGCATGCATGTCAGTCTGGATTGTAAAGATAGATGTGTGTGTGTGACATTTAGAAAGAACTAATGCTGATACAATCATGTTTTCCACACATCCTACACACTCTTACAGCTGTGGTAAACTACTCTTCAGACGCAACAGAAGCTCAGCTGCTCTTTTGAGGCTGTGTATCTTCTGAGGACAGTTGAAGAGCAGTTTCAGTACTAAACCGGAGAGAAACATTTAACCTCAATTCTGATCCTCTCAGCCTCACATTGGCACCAGTGGTTAGCGAATGTTCAGACGAAACAGTGTAAAACAGAATTGTTTTTGTGTTTTGGTTTGCATTTAGCTATTTCCTAAATATGTATCTATTAGATGCTGCAGTGGTTACTTGAGTGATGCCCCTGAAAGTTTCCGACATATTTTAGATATATATTTTGAATGTGGGTCTTCAGACAACACTTACACAAAGGGCAATTGCTAACTGTAAATGTACCACAATTTAAAAGTGTCTCAGTATTAAGTGTTGCATTTCACATCTAAAGTGGATATATTTGTGCCAGTATAAAAGACAGCCTTTAAAATAAATAAATAAATAAATAAATACACACCCTAATCTGACAGGTTTTGGTTAATTGCCACTAGATGGCGCTTTGCATGTAATCTTAAAACTAGGCTAAGTGCACTGAAAAAATCCCCCAAACCTACAAAAAAACAAACAAAAACCTTCTCTATTGTACTTACAAATCATGATCATATGCACTGCAGCTGAAAGAGGTCCAAATACAATTTTCTGCTTTATATATATATATAAATTGTTTTCTCCGTTTCTGTCACATATGGAGTTTTGGTTCCTTGCCACTGTTGTCTTTGACTTGTTTAGTTGTGAACACAATTTCTGGCAATATTGTTGACTTGATTGCACAGACACTATTTGAGAAGAACTGAACTGAGCTGGATGATGACAACACTGAATCAACAATGAACTTACTTTAACTGAAAAATTGACTGTTTTCTATTGTCCTCTTGCATTATCAGCACATGTTTTTCCTGTTTAACACTGTCAAGCTGTTTTGACACAATCTGTATTGCATAAAGCGGTATATAAATAAAGGTGACTTGACTTGACTTAAAAACCCCTTGTCTAATTGGCAGCTCTCTACACTCTCAAGCAAATGCATTACATACTCCATAAGGGTACATATTCCATAATATATAATTTTTTTTAACAGCATTGAAACTGACATGCATATGTTATATATTGACTGCTATTTTTCTACTACCTAGAGTCTAGAGTTACAACACACACACACACACACACACACA